ACTAGAATTGTGAGGCACATCAGTGCCAAAGAGAGACCTACCGTACAGAAATATCTGGTGTAAAAGTAAGACATACAGTCATAGTTGATGCTCTAGATTGATATTAATTTAGTTTTGTTGCTGAGCATATTTCTGAAGTCGAATATGCTTATTTCTATGCATTCTCTTTGATGATGGGTCCATGGTTGTGCAATTGATTTATTGAAAATTTGACGGATAATGAAGGGTGATTGAGTTGGCAGAAACAGTGATGTCCTTATGTAAAGTACATCTTAATAAAATTTATTGCAATCCCATGTGAGATTCAATTTACACAAGCTCTCAGTAGTAATCACTTGTGGGAAAACAAGAAAGAGAAGTGAACTTAGAATGATGTGATTATTGAATTATGAGTAGATTTATGATGTGACTACTAAGTAACTGAATTGTTTTACTGCTTTTTCTTTTAGACATTCTCATGTGAATATATTTCGTGCTTGTGCATTTTATGCTTGCAAATTTTGAGATAATGCCTATGATTTACATGTGCAGAATATTTTAAAAAGTTGTGGTATGAATTTGTCTTCATAATGAATTAATGCCTATCTCTGATTTGGATTATTTGATGGTTACTGTTCTTTATTTCATTTCAGGTGGTTTAGGAGCTTCGAATGTTAAAATTCCGACATTGAATTTTAATCAAATAAGAATTCCTAATCTACAAAAATGGAATGATGTAATACCATTGATTGGGCAAAGACCTCCAAAGTGCACTAGTTTAACAATATCACGACCATTGATGAAGCCATTCACTGTACATTGTGTGGAGGGTCAGTGTAAGTTTATTTTTCTTTATTTCTCTTGTGATCCATAGGTCTTTCCTTTTTGTGAATGCATCTGTTGATGAATTACATTTTACCAGACTCCTGATGGTGCTGCACATATGGAAAAAAAAAAAAAAAAAAAAAACCTTTGCTTGTACCTTAATAGATGTTACCATAAAGCTTGGAGATGATAAATTATAGTTCTGAATGCCCCCAAAATATTATTCATTTTATAGTGATAATGTAATCATCAGACTCACTTATACAGCTAGAGAATTAGATTTTGGTTATTATAATTCTACTGAAACATCAGTGATTTCTGTTAAGTAGAAGATAATCCTAATAGTTCTCTGGGAATAAAAGATGGGCTGGTTGCAGCGAAAGAAATGATTCCTGAAATAATTTTATTATCTAAATGACTGAAAGGAAACAAGAGAAACAATTTAGGTGGGGAACCTCCTCCAATGCATGCTATTATTTTGTTATAGTGCAGCCACATTTATTTTAAATGTTTCTGCTTTCATGATGTTATTGTCAGATTTACCAAGAACAAGCGTTACATTTCCCAAAGGACTAAAATTTAACTCAATTTTTAAACTGTTCACATATTCTCTTAAGTTTTCTAAAATCTTCTGCTAGTTTAAGCTAATTGTTCAAATAGTGTTTTAGCAACAATTATTGCATTCATTCATCATTTTTTTTCTTAATATTCTTAATATTACAACAAGGAGAGTATTTGATCTGTTTTTGATGAGCAGAGAAGTCCTGGTAATGCAGAATAAGAAGACCCTAAGAGGTCATATTTCATAAATAAAAGATATTCATTTACTGATAATGTTTATGTATTATTAAGATATTTAGCTTATTTAGGAATTATTGACTATAGGTTTATTATTAGTATGAGTTTGTACTCCTATTTTCTTAGAATGCTATTTACTTATTCTCTATTATAAGTAGCTCAATTAATTAACTTCTTTTCCTATTAGTAAAATTCTTGTGTAGACTTTAAAATTCTTACTTTGATTATATATTCTAGTGCCTATAAATAGGATATTCTAGTTTAGTTATTAGGTAAACTATTCATAAGATTATTATATAAATACTGAGTTATTGACCTGACTATCAAGATCTGAGATCTCCAATTTTAGTTCTTAAGAAATAATCAAGCTTTGATTAAATGTTGTTTACAAAAAAGTTTTTATTGTAGTTTCTTCAAGGACGGCTTCTTTTGTCTTCATGGAGTTTAAATCAACTAGAATTACTTAATGGATGGAGAAAATGATTACTTCCTTTTCCCTTATGACTCTCTTTTACTACAATATTTTTCTATAACACATTATTGTTTGTTCTTCAGAAGTCTCTTCTTTTGCATTACTGACTAGGCAGTAAGATTTATGTTTCTCTATCATTGTATGGCTTGTATTCACATGCTTTATCGATTGCAGCTGGCACTAAGTTAGTAAATGATGCTGAAGAGACTAAATCATCTGGTTTGACAAGTCCGCTCATTCCAAGTTCATATAAGGTGATTTCTTAACTATTATGGTCTGTGTAGATCTTGGATGTGTCTCTACTATCCAGTATTAATTTTTGCAGTGCCATATATTTTTCAGCATGCATCAACCTAGTCCTCCAAACTTTGGCTGGTTTATTGCATGTTCTTCTTTTCTTGTTCAGTAACAGATCAAGTGTTCTACAGATGAATGATTTAATTTACTAAGGAAAAGGAAGTGTTCATTTTTCCCTGTGTAGTCAGTAATCCTAGACCAGGTCTCAAAGTCCGTTGTTTTATAATTATCTTTTCCAGCTTGCTAGATCTATTTTCATGTTTGAAATTGATGATTTGCAAAACTCTTGTTCAATATTTTCCTTTATTATTAGATAAACTAATATTTATGTCTCCACTCCGAGTTTGAAGTCGCTTTTTAGCACTATGTAATCCTTATCATGTTTATTGAATAACCTGTAGTGGCCTTTCTTTCTTTCCTGAGGGGAAAAACAGTGTTCTTGAACTTCACCAAATTTTTCTAAAAATATTTCGGGATCCCAAATGGCGTCTAATCTTGCATTTTAAGGTGGGACTGGATCCACACCATGAAACTCTATTTGGAGAGAAAATACCAACTCAACTGTGGGAGGCTCCTCTAAGTGGGGTCAACTGACCTTAATTTTGAAAAAAAAAAATAAGAATGCACCATATGAGGACATCTTCAATAAAGAAATGATTTTGATTTTTATCTTTTTGTAATTCTCACGCTATAAATCATAATAAATAATCATTTTGATCCCATTAAGTGTGGTAAAAGATGATTTTGACCCATTAATAGTTTTAGTAATTTCTTACCCCATTGATTTACTATCTTTATTATATTTTATCGATCCCACAGTTAAAACTTCTAACTCTGTCCTTGCTGAACCACTAGGCTTAGACGTTCTGCGGAAGATTTTCTGGAAGTTTGTTATCCTATTTTCCTTTTCCAATATGGTTTTGATGATAATAACACTTAAGCAGTTTGATATTGTTGTTGGCTTAGGTGAATCGTGAAACCTAGTTCCACTTTATGCTAATGCTAACACTTCTAATGATGGCAGATGCAAGTCAACCTCTTTGTCTCGTTTCAACCTTTGGGATAAGATGTGCGTATTATTGAGAAGTTTAAAATCTATGTTACTCAAATTTCATATGCAGGTGGAGTCTTTGGTAACAGAAATATGCAATACAACTTCAATTGCAGAGTTTGAGTTGAAGGTAATCTGTTTAATTAAGCTGTTGTTGTACATTGAACTGCACTTCATTTCAGATAAGGTGCTTGATGTCTTATATTTCTTGCCAATGATTTCTTTATTTCTTAATTATGTTAGCTTGGTGGGTTTCGCTTATATGTAATGAGGAACTTAACTGAGAAAAGTGTACCTTCACCTGCACCAAATTCTGTACCAGTCCTTATAACTTCAACCATTGAGTCTTCAGATTCAAATGAATTGGTTTCCGCTCCCTCTTTGGCCATCACAAAAACAACATTTCCTTCAGAGGCAGTTCAGAATCTTCCAATGTTGCTTGACAAAGCCGCAGATGAAGGCTTGGTGATACTTCAGTCTCCAAAGGTGACAAGTTGAGAATTAAAATACTTTCATCTTCTCTAACTCAGACCTCTAAATTCATAAAAATGGTGCAGGTGGGATTCTTCAGAAGATCTCGAACTATTAAGGGGAAGCGTGCTCCACCAGCATGTAAAGAGGTATTCATGAGGGTCTGCAAAGGATTATGTTGTTACCTTTTACGTTTTTAGGAAAGAAATCAAACAAAGCATTTGAATGTATTCATGTGTGAACTAGGGGTTATACACCAAGAAGTTCTCTCTTTATTTTTGGCAATATCATCTGAAGCTTGTCATTCTTAGCTTGCCTTATTCATTGAACTATAATTATTTGTGGAACTTGTTTTGTCAGAAGTATATACATTTTGTCTGTTTGCTCTCTAGGAAATACTGATGTGTAGATTTATTTTCATTAAACTAGCTATTCCAGTAAGTTATTGGTTTTTTTGGGATATTTTAGGCTCCATGTAGTATGTGAAAACATTTTTTAGTTTTCATTTCTTAAACTTGTATAGATTCTTACATGTGTTTCTTTATTAAAACATGGATAGTAGTGTGTGTTCATGGAGTGGAATGATACTGAAATGAGAATGAAAATATAGATGGAGTTTGAAAAGAATAAAAAGCTATTTTCTACTTTTCAAAAAATTATTTTTATTTATACTTAATTATTCTACAAATATACATCCTTGTATGTTTTATGGATCTCATGTATAAACATGTATAACTGGAAATAAAAATTAGAAAATGTTTTCATCAAGTGATAATGGCTTCTCCATGGCATAGTGTGAATCTCTTCTCATAGCATTTTTGTTGATTTCCAAACAGAAGCAAACAGTGAAGGAGGGGCAAGTTATATGCTATGTTGAACAGCTGGGTGCTGAAATCCCAATTGAGGTTTGAATTTTGACTTGCTATATTATATGAGTCAAATGCCAGGAGGCCTGGTTTTACCATCCTCATGTTTTGCATACATTTTTTTAATATCACTTTCTGATTTTTCCTTCTCCACTCTCTTTCCAGTCTGATATATCTGGGGAGGTTGTTAAAATACTAAGAGAAGATGGAGGTAAGTCTAATAGATATTTTCTCTATTCCAAAACTCTTTTTCTTGATATCTCCAGATGACATGCTTCTATGGATTTTGTTTGACCCACAGAGCCTGTAGGATACAATGATGCTCTTATTGCAATTCTTCCTTCTTTTCCTGGGATAAAGAAGCTTCAATAGACCATTTGATTTGTTCTTCTTCAATCATCCTAGCAGTACCCTGAAGCAGCAGTATTGACAGAATGTACGCCCTTCACTAGTACATACTAGCGTCTTTAATAGCATAGCTTTATAGAAGAAGTTTAGGAAAGTCAGTTTTAATGGTAGAGAGCTTCTTCTGGGATGAGTTTTTAGGAAAGTATTCGAAGCTGGTGGGAATTATCATAATGCTTTGTTTTGTTATCCCTACTTTTTATTTTGTGGGTATTTGCCAAGTTTTGATTTTCACAATTACATTTCTGCGGTAACTTGTTCCAGCAGTTTAGTGCAGTAACTGGTAATTTTGATCAGTTAAGCCACTGTTAAAAAAGTAGATTTCTTGTACCAAGCAACAAAAATCTAAGCACTTTATGCTTGCTCAATCAAATTGAATACTCGATTTCTTGATCATTGATCACTGGAACAAAACGCTTGTACCTAGAATGATGTTTCTGAGAGAGCACTGAATTGCAGTAAATTCTTTTCCTCTGTAATTGAGTTGTGAGCAATACATGAATATTACTCTACTCTAGTGGGCTGATAGTCAAGCTGGCAACAATGTACACTAAACCTAGCAATGAATATCCATCAGGGCAGGAATTTGTTGCCGGGATTCATAATATTCAACCAGTAGCTCCTGGTTTGTTGAGGGTTCATTTCTGTGCAGGCACTTTTAAATTTAACAAACCGACTCTTTCAGTACCAAAACCTTGCGTTGAGATATTATGAACGGTGCATTCTAACTCCTTACTTTTTCAATAACCTGTTGGTTGAGATCCTTACCTGTTTGACGAAAAATTTGCCAGCTTCTGCTGCAATGAATCAGTACAAGAAGCTCGTCGAAAGTAATATCTCAGGAATACTAAAAAATCCTACAAGTTTAAAGTAACATCAAGAAAAATAATTTGATTCTGATAATACAACGAGTCTGTAATAATAATTGCAAAAATCAAAATATGATATCGTATATCAGCATTTCGTCTTCAAGGTTTATGTCTAGAAACTGTATCTTGAATTCATGCCGGTAGTCATGGATGATGAACACTGTGCATTAGAAGGTCACAGGGCGAGGAAAACTATATTGCCTGAGCAGAAGGGTAATGAATGAATATGTAAATGTAAGTTTCTCTTTCACTACACCACAAACATGGTACCTTCCATATAATGCATTGTATCAAATTACACCAAGTATTGTCTGGTTTGATCTTCGATTCAAAGTAAGGAATTGAAAATTTAGGTTCTGATGCAAAATTTCAAAAATTAATTAACTAATTGATTAATTAGGGATTGATATTTAATAAATTATTATTTGTTTTATATATAAAATTAATTATAAAATTTATGAATGATTATAATTTATGAATATTTTATTTTAATTCTTATTGATTTTATCAAATATTTTTAAATTAAATATAATAATTTTAAAAAATTAATCTAATTTTATCTAATCAAATCAAGTCAAACTAATTCACAAATATATTCGGTTCAATTCGATTTGGCTTAAGGCTAATTGTAATGCCCAATTTAATTTAATAAAAATTAAATTAATTTATAATTATAATTTTTTAATTTTATTTTAGTGTAAAAATGAAGAAAATTTGATAGGTGATGAAATTGGAAACATTTTTGAAAAACAAGATACAATTTGGGTTTTATAGTATTTTTAAAGAAAAATCAAAAATTGGAGATCAAATACAATTTAGAAAAGTTGTACCACGTAGGATGCCTTGTTCAGCAGCCCCCCGAATC